ATATCTCCCCATATCTCGAGCAGGCGGCGGACCGCGTGCAGAACGCCGTCGTAGAGCTCAACAAGGCCAACGAGTACCAGAAGAAGTCGAAGACGATGATGTGCATCTACCTGCTGCTGCTGCTGTGCGGTGCGCCGCCCCCCCGCCGCCGCCTCCGCCGCCCGCCACTCCCGGCCCGCGCTGCGTGATGGGAGGCGCTTGCACCCTCTAGGCATCATGATCGGCATCCTCATACTCAAGAACGCGATGAAGTGACCGCGCGCCGCCGCCGCCGACAGTAGTCAGTACGCCGCCGTTCGGCCGACTCGCTGGGATACCAGTAAGGCGGGACGCGGGTGCGCAGTCCACCCCGGCCGAACGGAGTGTTCGTTGTGTCCGTGCTGGTCTTAATATTTGTGGAGCGCGTGTGCACGCTACCCCAAAGTGTGTCTCGCGCCTTGCGCACGCCGGCACGCCGGCAGGCGTCCTCGGCGAGAGCTGGCACGTGGGACGTGGCAGCTCTGCCACTGGGCTCTGGGGCACCTGCCACCGAGCGAGGCGGAATAAAGAGGACAATATGGAGAACTCCTGCCTTGAAGTATGAAGATGAACGCTCACGCGCGGGACCCTAGCGCGTAGCGGGCACAACCACAAGCCACAACTGTGCGCAATCCGATCCAGACGGGGGCAGGACGGGGGCGTTGTCACGGATAGCGCGTAAAGTAGTATATAGCGAGGTCCCGAGGTGATCGGAAAGAGCGAATCCCTTTTGTGACCGAGTTTCGTTGCCAAGCTGCAGAAACAAGCTTTCAGTGCCTACAAGTGTAGGCACTGGATTATCGTGCGCGCGGAGCGCGCTGGTGCTACGGGAGCCACAACAAACTCTACCAATGGCGCCTGCATGCTCTCTCTCTCGACCACAAACGCCTCCTCACACCCCCGACCCCGGCGGCTCCCTCGAGCGCCTCGTCGCCGGGTCCGCCATGCCCCTCGCCGCACGAAGAACGAGGTAACCGAAATCGCCTCAGGACCAAGGCTGGATCCTTTCATCATGTGTGCCGTCAGTAAGCAAACTCGGGTCTGAGGACCGCGGACTGGACGAGGTCGCTCTGCACAGCTCCGCTCACCAGCTGTTTGGTCCTCTCCCCGAGCCCTCGCACCGTCTCGCTCGCGCCCATCCGCTGGAGCGCCCACTTGGTCCACCGCTCGGTCGATTCCACTGTCTCGCTATGAAGCACCGCCTGCACCACAGGATGCTCCGCGAGGCTAAGGGCGGCATGCACGGTCTGGCTCTCGACGGCAGTCCGCACGAGTGTCGTGCCCAGGCGCACGGGAGGCTCGATCATCTGGACCGCCGTTTGAACCGCTGCGTGCGCTGAGTCCGACTCTGCCGTATGCACCACCGCACGGAGGGCGTCGGCGAGCGCACGGCCCGCGGAGTCCGCCTCAATGGTCTCGGCGGCGACGTCGAGGCTATTGGCAATGAGCACGCGCGCCGCATCCGATCGCACCACCCCTGCCCCCTGCCGGAGCGATCCGGCAACCGCGTCACGCATGACCTGCGACTCTAATGCGGCCGCAATGCCATTGATTGAGGAGGCAAAGGTGGCAACGAGGTCGCGGCCAGCCTCGCCCTCCAGCCAGTGGCGAACCAGCTTGTCGCGAACCACATGCTTTGGCTCCACGCGGGCCACGGCAGCGCCGTCGTCGTCGCGGTCCGTGCCAGTCATGTGCGTCCCCGCAAGGCGCGAGACACACGCGGCGTCGTCGTGACGTTCGTCGCGTCGGACGTCCGCTGAGCAATTACAAGTAAACGCCTTGCTCGAGCACGTGGCTATGAGAGAGACTTGTATTTGTTAAATTCCTCCGAGCCCTGGTGGGCCGTCCTTCCATCCCTCCATGTTCGTCGCTTTTCTTTCCTTTTTGGTGGGCTGGGCTGATTGTGCGTGTTTCGCTCCTTCTAGAGCATAAGCCCTTGGTGTGCGGCGAGACGTGATTGATTGATGGGAGGGCGAAACACAGTCCGACCAACGACTGGGACACCAACGCGGTATGGGTGGACGCAGGACGGGCGATGACGGTCACACAGGAGCGACACACAGAACCACAAGACAAGACACTCAGCCAACGTGGCTGCCACACATCCTGACGAGTTTTACACACACACACACACACACACACACACACACACACACACACACACACACACACACACACACACACACACACACACACACACACACACACACACACACACACACACACACACACACACACACACACACACACACACACACACACACAGATCACACACACACACACAGTGGTAGAGTTGTTTGGTATTGCTAAAAATCTCTCTCTCTCTCACACACACACACACACACACACACACACACACACACACACACACACACACACACACACACACACACACACACACACACAGA